GAATAAAGCAGGAAATTGTTATCTCATCAATCTGATCTCATAGCTCATGCTGTTTCAAGCAAGAGGTTGGACTTGAAACCACCTAAGGTCCCTTGCAACCTGAAACTGAATCATGAGTCTAATGACACTGACATCAAATGCCATTAAAGTGACTTGAAATTTCTGTTGTTTATCATTACTTTGGCTTCATATTCAGGTAGTGGAAATGGCAAGTTACTTTTAATTTACTTGTTAAGGTAAAAATTAATCAGCAGTAAGTACAAAAGAAATTGTGAGTTTTCAAGATGCTTTCGATCATGTCAGGATCCTCAGCATTGCCTCTGCTTGTTCAGAACAGTACATTAATAAATCTCAGGAGTAACAAGAACAATGACTTTCAGATACTGCACAAAGATAGAGATTCATAAAAAAATTTGCTATGTATGAGATATTGCACACATTAGAGGTCCAGATCAAAACAGCTTTCCTTTCATTTTCTTTTAGTTTCTGAAGTTGCTGTGATTATGTCTATACTAACTTTGGTACTTGTTCTTGAATTAGTGCTCATGATCACCACAGTCATAGTGTCCAACATATTAGTCATTGTCATTTGGAATTTGGCTGTCCCTGATTCCTGTTGCTGACCTGATGATCAATCAGGTGAAGGCATGTAAGTCAGTTAGTCAGCCTTTGGGGAAGCGATATTGCAAAAGGCAAACCAGTGGCACTGTCTGGAATCACCAGCTGGACTTTATGGATTTTTCCCTAAACAGGATCAGAGACAGCATGCATTTTCCAGTGTCCTGGCTAGGTAAGAGAGGTAGAGGTTTAAGTTCATGAAATCTGAGAGCTCTGACAAGTCTCCAGTTAGCTATGAATGAGACAGCTTGAATTAACAGGGTCATAGAATCATAGAATCTTGGGTTGTAAGGGACTTTTAAAGGTCATCTAGTCCAACCCGCCCTGCAGTGAGCAGGGACATCTTTGACTAGATCAGTTTGCTCAGAGCCTTGTCCAGCCTGAACCTGAATGTTTCCAGGGATGGGGCATCTACCACCTCTCCGGGCAACCTGGGCCAGGGTTTCACCACCCTCATTGTCAAAAATTTCTTCCTTACATCTATTTTCAATCTACCCTCTTTCAGTTTAAAGCCATTACTTGTCCTGCCACAACAGGCCTTGTTAAAAAGTTTATCCCCATCTTTCTTTAACTACTGAAAGCTGCAACAAGATGTCCCCAGAGCCTCCCCTTCTCCAGGCTGAACACCCCCAATTCTCTCAGCCTGTCCTTACAGCAGAGCCGTTCCATCCCTCAGATCATTTCTGTGGCCTTCTCTGGCCCCACTCCAACAGGTCCGTGTCTTGCCTGTGCTGACAGCTCCAGAGCTGGATGCAGGACACCAACTGGGGTAATGGGGTATCACCAGAGCAGAGTAGAGTGGCAGAATCCCCTCCCTTGACCTACTGGCCATGCTTCTTTTGATGCAGCCGAGGATATGCTTGACCTTCTGGGCTGCAAGCGCACGTTGTCAACTCATGTTCAACTTTTCAGCCACCAGTACCCTCAAGTCCTTCTCGGCAGGGCTGCTCTCAAGCCCTTCATCCCCCAGCCTGTATTGGTACTGAGGGTTGCCCTGATCCAGGAACAGGACCCTGCACTTGACCTTATTGAACCTCATGAGGCTCACACAGGCCCATGTTTGATGTAATTGCATTAATATTATCTCAAGCAGAGATCACCCTTTCTTCTCTTAATCCTGCTAATTTTCCATCTGGGATCTCCTATGGTGAGTTATCTGTCTCACTTCAGCAGTTACTCTGGTTACGGGTGTGCTAGCGGCAGCATGCAGGGTTGGTTATGAACTAGAGGGACAGTGCAGCTGTAACTTAGGAAGCCTGTATGCTTCTCTCTGACAAGCCAGAAATAAACACCTTGCTCTCCTTCACATCGTCACCCCAAACTTTCACCTTTGAAGTGCCTCATGTAGGTTCGCAACTTAGGTGACCTATCACTGCAGTTTGAGACGTTCATCCTCCTCCTTGCCTGTTGCTCAGTCTTGCTAATTTTCTTGCATTTGTGCTTCCTTTGCCTGAAATTCAGCTTTCTTTGCAGATTCAGTGGTCCCTTGTGCTAACTGTTAATCTGGAAGGAGAAGGTACCTGTGCTCCTGGAGAGACCTGTAGATCTGCTGAAATCAACACAGATGCTCTTCTAATCAGTGTAAAGACCCTTCCTGATGGTATCCAGGGATTTTAGCTTGAGTGAGAAATCTAGAAACCTCCCAGCTGTCCGGTGGACACAGTGCTTGAAATACCAACCAGAGGAAACTTGGACCCAGATCCAGCAAATATTTGGGTCTCATCTTCCCTTTGATTTTAAGCAGCTTTAAACCCTGACCTGTAGGCTTCTCAATCAGCTAATATTACAATGTGGAGCAAAGCGACATTTAACCTTTGAAAATTTGGGCTATAGTATAAAGCTTTTCAGCACTTTGAATTTTTTTTCCCTGTAGGCATATACAAATATTCAGAGAACCAGATGTTAGTAAACTGAAGAAAAACTATTGCCGCAATCCAGATGATGATTTTCATGGTCCCTGGTGTTACACAGATGATCCTCTCGTTCCCTGGGATTACTGCCCTATTTCTCGATGTGAGTATTGGGTACGCCTCAGGCATTGTCAACTGTGCAGTCCCAGTGAAGCCATGGTGTCACATGTGTATGCATACCTTTCTGTTGTCACTTGTGGCAGCAGAAAATGTGTAATTCTATCAAGAATCAATTGTGCATGACTGAGAAGGAACGGACAGAAGCTGCTTGTGCAATATATGAACAAGGGGTCCTTTTCCTTGACCAGCTTGGAGATTTTAATGCTTATTTATGCAGCAGGAGCATAAAAGGGCTATTACAGATGGTCAAACATTTTCCAACAGATCTAGCTATTGAATGAGGGCTGGATGGAGACAAAGAATTGTCTAGTGGTCAGAAGGCTGGCTGTGGCCTCAAGAAACCCAGCTACAGTTATCTTCTGTGCTACAAGATTCATAGTCTCTTTGTGTGTTTTGTATTTGTTTGTAAAGTTAGGGTAAGTCACTATATATATGTTGAAGTGTATTTATATAAATAAGATCCTGCTTTCAGATATTTATGGGATGATTTAACTCATGGCAAGAATTAGGAACATCACTCCTCCAAAGTTGCATGTTAAAATCTAAATCGCTTAAATAAACAGAATTAAAAATCCTAGCAAATTCAGCAATAAACTGACGTTAAGTGGGAAAAGATAGATTTACGCTAAAAAAAGTGCAATTCGCATTTACATGCAAAATGCTTCTCTTCAATTCTTATTTCTAAATTACTATGCTGTATATCCTGGGAGAATATTTAAATGGTAAATCAGGCTTTTGAATGCATGTTTGTGATCTCTAGAGGTTACGGGAAATGTTGCATTCATTCCTAGCAGCAATCTGCTGCATTTCCTCATAGTCTGAACTGCAGGATCTCTAAAGGGTGATATTTGAAGGCTCAGGTGATATTTTGGCATCTATGTGAAGAGTAAACAAATTGTGCAAAAGGTTATTTGTGTCAATGTAGATGAAGAACAACAGCTGAAGAAATGTAAGTTTTATTCACTCATTTTGAGTTCATTGTTTGAATCTATGAATTTCTAAGGAAATATTCACAGCAAACATTTGTAGGGTATATGGCGATGGTGAATATTATGATTCCTTGACTCAAACTCCAGATCTGGAATATGTCTGTTTTACAATTGTAATTTGTATGGATTAGTATTAAACTACTAGTAGCTCACTCAGGTACTGATAACCAGGTTAACCAGTACAGAAAAAATGCTGGCAGTTCCCAGGTGTACTTACCTGGTGCCTTTAACTGGTCTCTTCAAATTATGCTATATATATATTTATATGTACTTATAAGTACAAACACATAAACATATGCATTTGTGTACAAATACACATGGAAAGTTAACTATGCCTATATATATATATCTATATTTTCTTAATGATGGAAATCTAGTTGGATGAGACTCTTTAAATTTTACCTGTGAAAATTTTCAGTAGCTACACCTGCACCTCTAGCTCAAAATGCTGGGTCACTCTGAAGACTTCACTGAAGGAAAAGATTCTGAACCAAGTTTAAGCACCCTTGTTGGAACTGTATTTTGGCTTGGACTAGATGAAAGAACCAAACCAGACTTTGGGGAATGTATTTTGATAAGGATAAGTTTTTGCTCATAACATCATATAAGGACCTTTGAAGTTTGAGAAGTTTTTAAGGAAATTATGAATTTTCATTAAATCTGATTTGGACTTAATCACATGACTTCTATCATTCCTGAAAGCTTATAGAAAAGTCACAACTTCATTTTTCACCTTTTGCTTGTTCAAACGAAGTATGTAAATGGAATGTGATAGATAGCCTGATGTATTCAGGATTCAACCAAGAAGAAAAATGCTTGAAATTCCTGTTGCAAAATGCTTAATTCTTATTTCATTCTATTGGAATGAAATTCTGCCTTCTTGTTAATCTTTACCAAATTGTGCTTTTGCAAAGTATTAAAGAAATCATTGAAGTTTTAAACTTTGTGAACTATTAAAATTAACAAAATGTCATTTGCTGTTTATTTTTACTCTATTCAATTTTTGCATGTGTTTTAATTTTGTATTATGGATGTCTTATATGTCTGTCTAGGTGAAGGTGATACAACTCCTGCTACAACCAGCTTGGATGGTAAGTTTGCAGATGTAGTGTGCAGTGCATGTATTGTATCCTCTAAGATTAGACATCTCTTTCCATTTGGGAAACAAGAGAAAGAACAGTTAAAGATAGAAAAAAAATACAGTTTAGGAAAAATTGCTTTTATAAGAGGAAAATGTAGAATAGCTTTATTACACTAGTTTATCTATTTTCACTGTCCTATCTTACCAGTGGTGAGATATGGTAATGATTCTTAATGTTTGCTTTATAACTATATAAATGTCTGTAATAAACCTATTTAAATACATGTATTTTATATTCCATGTGAATATATAGACTGAACCAGCTTCACTGAAGTAGTTTTGATGCTCTAGAAATATATTTCATTAGTGCAGGAAACTTAATCCAGGATAAATATTGACCTTCTTGTGGTCCTTATGTGCAACTGTACAGGTTTCCTACCGCTGTTTTTAGTAAAATGTGATCTCTGGACCTGCTTTCAGATACTGTCATTCCTTGTGCCTCAACAAAACATTTGAGAGTTGTAAATGGAATCCCAACACAAACTAACGAAGGATGGGTGGTTAGTTTGACATACAGGTAACTATCACTTTGAACTAGAAAGACAATATGTCTAATAGGATACTTGGTTTGGAATTGTAGAAAAAGTTGACAATAATAAGAATGCTTCTAGATTGACATTAAATCCTGTAAAAGCAGAAAATCAGCATTCATGGAAAATCAGATGATTCCATAATATTCACTCCATCAGTTAAAGGTTTATATTTTCATTATTACTACCTTACACACATGAGCTTGTAAAGCATTCATAGTGTCCTGCTCTTTCAATTAGCTGCTGCAGACCTTTTCATATCATTGGCTTAGCACCCCACATTAAACCGTTTATTTTAGAGACTGTTACAAAAAAAATTTGAGTTTCACATCAATATTTTCATTTTAACAACAGTACATTTAGTTGTGAAGTGTTAGATTCGGGATATATACCCATCTCAAATTTCGCTTTCTGTTCATATCATTGCATGCAATAGAAATGTAGTCTGTCTTAAAAAAAGTAGGACCTGTAAAGAAATCCTTTTCATTCTGTAAAATAAGACCCTAACATGTACAGTTGGAAATGTGTATTACATTATGGGAGATCTTACTTTGCTACTGTGTAAAAGCCAGAACACAGAATTACTGTTTCCTGTGTTCATTACTCTAGCTCATAACTCACCAGCTGGAAGTGTGAATCATTAATATATGACAGGAGACATATCTCGTGCATCAGCCTTGTATCTACTATCACAAAAAAAAGAAAGAAAGAAAAGTATTTTTTTTTGTCTGCTGGTACAGACTGAAGTACAGCTCACTTCTATCAGCTTATGATTTGTCATCCCTTTTATAACCAGGTTGTAAAATAGGTCTTAAATGAAAAACTGGGGTAAAAGAAAAGATAAAAAGATAAAAGATAAAAATGTTCTGCATTGTTTCATTGCTAGAGAAATTCTAGAGATCCTTCCCATCCTTGGTAATCTTTGCATCTTATGAGCTCCAATTAGAACTAAACCTTTCTGGATGTCTAGTGAATGGTCCAGAAAGACATTTCTAGAGGAATATAATTCTATCCCTACACTAATTAATCAGATAGGTGGGCTGATTCACTCTCTGGAAAAGTTTCTCTTTCCACTGTTTTTAAAGCAGCCTTGATGTTTGAGGAACTTTTAGACAGGTAAAGTGAATTACAGCTGGGTGCCTAAAATGTAAATAGCTAATGTTAAGGTAGTTGAACCTGGATTTTGTGCTATGCAACAAAATTCCATTAAGTAAAATGAATGCTTAAATGATTGCATATTCTTTTATGAAAACGGGATTCCTGGAATACTCCAGCAGCAAAATATATTTTTAAGCATTACATGTGGGCATAAAAATGTAGCTTTATTTTTGTATTGTTACCAAGGAAGCAAATAGAACGTTGTCTGAAACAAAATCTTAATGACCTCGGGACTTTCTGGAAAAAAGTAACTGTACACCTCAAAATGGAATTGCCAAATCTGAATGGTAAAGGTTTAATGATACTTAGAAACTTGCATACATATGTGGCAACTAAGGCCCACCTCTAAATGTTAAATTAATCAATGACATATTTTCTTATATATCCAATCCAGATTCTGTTATCAGGTATATTTAAGTATATTTGGATGAATTTCATCTATTTCATGGAATCAGCTCTGGATTTATGCCACGTTTAAATAAGAAGTTTAACCTTCCTATGTGTACTAGCCAATCCTCTAAAGCAGATGATGCAATCTTGTAAATTCCTTTTGATAATTAGTGATGCAAACATAATATGCAAGAACACATTTATACTCCTGATTGTGACATTTTTATTATAAAACTGGGCAGAATGTATATTTTAGAAAGAAACCAGCCTTTTGGACTAGATATTTTGTTCCTCAATGGAAAAAAAGAAAAAAAGAGAGGCAAGCATCTGTGTTATTCTGCTGTCTTTGAACTCCATATAGGCTCTGGGTTTCTTCCAGCAGTTCTCTGCAAAGCTTTGAACATTTGTGTGATTTGAATTTATAAATTGTGAGATTTTAAGCTTTTTCCAAATTGTTGACAATTCTGATTCACTTTCCAAAGAGCTGCAGAAAATAAATGTGATTTTGGAGGCACAGAGAAGGAAACTAATTAATCTGCATTCCACAGTAATTTTTATTTTTGAAAGAACTGTCATGCTTAATTGCTTTAACTTTACTTGATATATTATGCTGCAGGTTTTCTATAATCATATGTAGGATGCCATACATTGTAGATTGTTTCCAACTGAAGTATGTGGGGACAGAAATCTCATAGGGCTGGTAATCAAACAAGAACTCTCCACCTTGAGGTCAATGCTTTGAAAAATACCTACATGAATAATGACCAAATGTTGTTTACATCTGGTGGCAGTTTGGGGACTTGCTTGAATGTTTCAGTCCAGTTCCTATCACAAAGAATTAGCTTGTTGTTTCGGGGGGTTTTTTGTTGTTTGTTTTTTTTTTAAGTTAGGTCTCATTATAAATTCAACTTTGAAACTGCTAAATGAACAGAGTAACTGAATTTCTCTTCCTATTTTACACACATTAGAGTAAATCTCTGCAAAGTCATGCTACTATGAGTGTTGAAACTGTAGAGGAAAGGGACAGACACATGTTTTCACAGGCTGTCAGGCAGCCACTTTTCACCAGCAAAAATACATGGGAAACAAAAGTACTCTCAAAAGATTTTGCCTATGTAGAAACTAATACTATTACTTCTATTTTTAATTTTTTTCTTCTTTTTCTTCCCTTTTTTTTTTTTTTCCCCCAGGAATAAACATATCTGTGGAGGTACTTTGATAAAGGAAGAGTGGGTTCTAACAGCAAGGCAGTGTTTCCCTTCTCGGTACAGTAGTCTGTAGCTTTGTAACACTGAAATACATCTATTTTTAGGAACTTATCAGCACAACATTTCTTTAACTTAAATGCAGAAGTTTTCCCTCCTGTTTGGCATTAGCACTGCATTTCTGATGTAAAGGTCCTGTGGGACCTTGATATTTTCTGTTATTATTGTTGTTAATCTAAAAGAGCTCTGGCTATTTTAAATAGGAGTATAAATATGTTTTCTGAGTGTAATGGTTAGACAATTACCTCTTTATGAAAATAATCTCATGCTTCTGCTTAACTGGACAGAATAAAATAGAAAACTTGGGCAAATCTCAAAAAGTTCAAAGGTTCAGACTGTCCAAGGACCTAAATGTTTGGATAGTATTAGGAAACAAAAGTTAGATTGTAGTAACAGTTAAAGATAAAATTAGGTAGTGGCTTCAGACCAAAAACTTCCATCTGAACATGTTGATTTTGGAATAGCAGTTGGCAGCATAAACTCATTTCTAGTGAAGAGTATTGGTTAAGCTCTTCTAGCATAATCCTATTAAGCTAGATTTTCTGAATTTTTTTAGTTATTTTATTATACACTCAGCAAAATCCTAACCAATTTTGCCTCATTTAGGTACAAAGATTTGAAAGACTACAAAGCCTGGCTTGGAGTCCATAATATCAAAGGAAAGGGAGAGGAGAAGCATAGACAAGTTCTGAATATCTCCCAGTTGGTATATGGCCCCACGGGGTCAGATTTGGTCTTACTGAAACTTAGCAGGTTAGTCGCTATTATTGCCAATTCCAGGATTTTCAACTGATGAATGAGATTCTTCCTAAATAAGATTTGCATATTCAGTTCTCTCCTGTCTCTGATACTGCAGGTGATGTCTCCATAGGGTAAACTTCCAGTTGTAAGAAATTTTACTTGATATATGCAGAAATGCAGGTTCATCTACCTTATTCAGAAAGCAGATGTTACTTCTGAAAAATCGTGCCTACATTTTTTTTCCTGATAACAAAATTTAGGTTTGTTGGGAGTTTTTTATTTGGTTTTGGTTTTGGTTTAAAAAAACAAATAAACACAACAACCCACATTGACTAGTATACGGTTTTAATTTACAGAATAAGCACCAGATTGTAACTGAGAATCTTATGTATATATGAGCTTTCAAACTTTCTCCATATTAGCAAAACTATATATTTAAATGAAATTCCATCATTACTTACTTTTAAGATGATAACCCAAGTTAAATAGTATAAAAGTGGTGACAACATTTCAAGAAATCTTTTCACAGTTAACAGCTGTAGCACAAAAAATATGTAGAAGAATCCATCATCATCTTCAAAGATGGAAGAGAAAGGAGAATTGTCACAGTTTTTAATTGCTGTAGTCTAGAATGGATTTAATGTCATTTTTAAGGTACATTTTAGAAAGCTAAGTAAAATCTATTATATCTATTATTTCTTTTCTATTTTCAGACCTGCCATATTGACAAATTTTGTAGAAATAATCCGATTGCCCATTTCTGGATGTACCATTCCAGAGAAGACCAGTTGCAGTGTTTATGGATGGGGATACACTGGATGTAAGAAAATATTTTTTAAAATTAATTGAATGCATTGTCAGCTTACTCTTGTCGTTGTAGATGAGGCTGCTGGTATTGCCCAATGACATGGTTGTCCAACACTTGTTGTTATAAAATGCAGTTTCAATTTTTTTCTAATTTTGTAAATCTCTGAGCACTTTATCTATGATCATTTAATATGAAATATTTTCTATTAGTCCATCTTTTTTTTTGTTTTGTTTTGTTTCAGTGACAGACAAAATGATTCAAACATTTCAAAGAATGACTAGAGAAAAATATTGTTCTACATGTTTAAAAAATCTGTCAGAATGGTTTTGCAGAGTTTTTCAAAACTCTTTTTCAAAAATCTGATTCATCTACTTGAACAGTCTCTTTCTGTACCCCCAAGCAGGCTGCCTGTGGAAAAACTAATAACAATCATGTGATCAAAGACATAATTAACATACACAAAGACAGTGAACTAAGGATGCACAGGCAGTCCTAAGTCTGGCATTTCCTAACTTTTGAGTACTTGACTTTGCAACCTTACTAATGTTTATTAAACACAGTTTTTGTGTGAAGTAAATACAAATATGTGGGAGAACAGACATTTATTTAGTCTGGTAAATACTATATCTGGCTAATTATGTGTTGATGATAAAGTTAATAGCTGCCAGTTGACAATAATTACTCCAATAATTACTGCGCTCAAACGTCGTTTTGCCACAGACCCTGAGCAAGCAGCAGTAACATGCTCACGCTGTCCTGGAAGCAAAGCAGAAACTTAGACTAATTCTGAGGCTCTCTTCCTTGTAACCATTACTCTGCATGGCTTTGTGGGTGGCAAGTAATCTGTACCAGCCCTCTCCAGATGACTGCTTTTGATGTTCCCAGCATGGCCATATTAGCCATCCTCTAGGGGGGATGGCTGCCTAGGGGACAGGGGAGTCGGGCTGGAGCACGGTGCAGCATCACAGGAAAGCTTAGCTTGAGAGAACTGATACGGAATTTGCAGTGTTGTGGGGTTATGTAATACAGTAAATACATAACATCTGTCATCCAAGGACTTTGTGCTACATTTTATGCACTACTTAATATAATCCTTACAACATCCTAGTGAGGGAGGAAGAAGCGTTACATCCTTTTTTTTTTTTTTTTCTTTTATTCAAGAAAATAGGATAACAATTCAGTGAAGAGCAAGCTTGGCATTTTCTTTTGATGGCTGTGCAGAGAACGGGCAGGTCTAGGCCCTTTATTTATCTTCACAGCTTGTACAGACTTGTCTTTCGACATGTAGAACAAGAGCAAGCTCCACAGGGCTCCTGCTTCCTGACCTTCACACTGATGAATGGAGATTGCACAAAGCTGTGACTCTGCCCTTGCAGGCACAAAGTCATTCAGTATAGCTGAGCCAGCACAGAACGAGAAAAACTCTGCTCTGCTACAGTATTTTTCAAGACACACATCCTTCCCTAGGCCAAGACAGACACTGTTATACATTAACTCGTGTTTAAGGCGGAAAGAAAAATCCTTGCTCCACTGATGGGACTGACAACATTCTCAGGCTCCTTTTTTCTGATTTCTGTGACGTGGCAAGGCAAGCTGGTGGTGGACTGTAGAGTGACCCAGCTACCTAGCAGTTTCTTCTCATACAAAAAACTTCTCCAGATATTCTCAGAGAATTGAAAATACATGCACACCGAAAAATTTCTTGCAAATCTCAATTACAAATATAAGAAAAGCAAAAGACAAATGCATGATAACTGGGGATAGACAAAAATGTGAGTACTGGAGAGAAAGTACAATAGCTGAAGTTACATGAGTAAGTTTTCATTCTCTTTTCAATTCTAGTAATTAACTATGATGGCCTTCTCCGCGTAGCAAACCTGTTTATTTTGGGAAATGAGAAATGCAACCAATATCTCAAAGGGAAGATCACTGTGAATGAGTCAGAAATCTGCGCTGTGGCTGAAACCATCGGTGCTGGGCCTTGTGAGGTAAATATTACATTTCCCAATACATTCTTAGGAGACATCAGCCTGGCTATTTCTTTCCCAGAAATAATTTACTAGAGTTTTTTATAATTATTCTCGCTGCGTTAAAATTCTACACAAAAACATATTTTACTCTTTCGCATTGAAAAATGATTTGTGTTTCTCGCAATCTCTTTTCTGACAGAGTGCAGGAAGAGGTTTCTTTGCTTCAGTTTCACCGTATCACCACACCAGAAAAGGTTTAACATGAATATTAGATATACTTACATGATTAAACACTTTGCCAGACTGAGGCAAATTTGTGTTCTGTATACTAAGGACTAAAGTGGGCTGTGTGCTAGCAAGAACAGCATGTTTTGGTTGAGTAGAAAACAAAGGCTGGAGCAAATTTAACTGCTTACTTAGATGAGGACTCGCATGCAAAATACAAAAAAGTCACTGCTCAGCAGAGTTGATGAAGTTATGAGGGAAGGAGAAAGAACCAAGAATATACTGAGGTTCAGTATTAGTCAGAAGGCATTTCGTCTCCCTAATCAAGCCTGAGCAACATATCAGTGAGGACAGGAGAACTACTTCAGTGAAAGTACAGTTTGATACAGTTTTTTGGCTTGGGACTAGTTTTGATGATGGAGAAAAGCCACCTGAGGAGAAATGTTGTAAATAATTTATTACAGGAAGGTATTTTTTTGTGTGGAAAATCTGCTTGATGAGATGATGTCTAGAAGGAGGGAAGTCATGAGTATTATTATGAATTTAATATCTGGAGTGGAATAGATGATTTCCTAATACTGATGTTAACTAAGCATTGAAATTTTCCCTACCCAAGGGTACTACCAAACTATGGGGAAATGAGGTCTTCATCTGGTTGAGGCCTCTTCCATTTATTATTAATATTCCACAGGATCATTTTGTTATTGCAAAGTATTTTCTTCAAAATCAAATATTTAATCATAAATGAGCTCTTAGACATGTCAAGGCTTATAAACGAAACATCTGCTTGGAAGTCTGCTGGGGATCCTGCACTTTGCTTTCCCCTGCAAGAAGAAATGGACTGAATTAATATTAGCAATCAGTCTTAATCACTGCATGGCTTCCTGCTCCCTGAGTTCCCCTTTGAAGCTACTTTCCTCAGCAGAGAACAGGCAGAGAAACAAAATCAGATTGGCAGGTGAAACTCCACTCCTGAAAGTGTTTTATGAGCCGCTCTGATGGTACTGACATAGTTCATTGTTCATGTGGGAACTAATCTGCAGTCAGTCAGGAAAAAAACCCCAAACCAAATAAAGGTCAAGCATTGTTGTTTCTCTGGTGATCCGGAGAGAATACAATGTTAATTGTCAGATTTTATTTTTTGAAACAAATGTTTCACTATCGGATATGAACATTTACTCTCTAGCTTTGCAGCTGGTTTGCTAGGTCCGGTATATGTTTTGCCTGGGTAAAAACTGCAGTATCTATGTTCAAGTCTCAAATCTGTATGAATGTATCCAAATTACCATTTCAATCTAATTTAAAGTGGATGTATTTTAGTGCTAAATAAAACCCTGATCTGAGTTGGCCATACTCCAAATTTTCACTGAATGCATGTGCTAGTGCATAGATGTCTCATTCACTCAAAATAATGAAAAAAGAGGATTTTAAGAAGTTATGTCTCAAAATTATGTCTACAAAATGTTACCTTTTATTATGTTTGGGATTACCCTTCCCCCACCCCCACCTATTAGTACACATCAATTCTCATCCTGGGGCCTTGCAAAATGATTGATTGACAGGAGGATATTAACCTGGCTCTGTCAATAGTCTTTGATGCAAAGCCTGTTATAATAACAAAGTTGTTTATTAGTCAACTCACTTTCTGCTCATCTGGTTTATATGCACAGAAAAAAATATTATGCTTGCAGGTAGCTGAAAGAGGAGGTTAAGATCTGGTAGTCTGAAGTCACTAGAATCATATATAAAGATGGATCACAGGGTTTAATTTGCATGGGAAGCATTCAAAGACCAGCCTTGACATTGGTTCGCATAAGTTCTGGTTTTGAAAAAGGTATTGGAATCTGTTTTTTGTCCTATGGCAAGAATAACTCTATTGCGTGTTCACTGAGCTAGGTCATCCTCAAAAGAAACCAGGCAGAAGGAGACAGGTAGGAGCTGTGTCTTGAAGCATTTTGAGAAGTGACATCTTTTATGTTTATTTTTCCCCAGCGAGATTATGGTGGTCCCTTGGTTTGTGAACAAAACAGGCTGAAGATAGTAGTTGGTGTCATTGTTCCTGGCCGTGGATGTGCCATTCGAAATCGTCCTGGGATTTTTGTTCGGGTCTCATATTACTCCCGGTGGATACACAAGATTATGATGACCTACAGAAAACCCTGAAAAACTCAACAACTTCCATTCAAAGAAAGATTTTGGACAGCATGGAATTAATGTGTAATGTAAAGATCAACAATTTTTTAAGTACTTGATAGTCAAGTTTCTTGAGCTTCTTTTAATATTTATGGGTGTTTTTGGTGTTTTTGTCTATCAGTGTTGTTTTAAAAATGTTGGAGTGACTTACAGTATATGCAAGTATGGTGACATATCTCCTGAAGATACTTGAATGGGTAAACAATTTTGCAAAGATATTATTACTGGATGATAAATGGTTTTGTAGAAATAGATCATATGACCTCTTTTATGCTGCTCTTCAGATTATCTTAGAAGGAGAAACAAATTATAGTTTTATTTTACACATTTTATTCTTTCTATGAGCCATATATTTCTCTTCATATACGACAAAAGACCTACTGAGAGATATATGCATCTGTCAAGGACAGCATATATGATCATATTTCTCTTCCCCCTTATAAGAGGTCAAAATGTCAATATTTCATTAAAAATAATCTCTTTAGAAATTAGTCTTTTCATTACTGATCGACTTTGACAAGCCTGCCATAAGCAGAGTTCTCATAGAAGTCAATATATCTTCCTTTTACACAGTGCTTATAGACTCTAGTTCTGCACTTGGTTCCTTCAGTGTGTATGTGGTCCCCTAACAGATATCTCAAAACCCCTTTTGCATGAGGGAAGAGACATAGAAATGGACTGGTTAGCAAATTATTGTGCATTTGTTTAATATTAGTCCCAGAAATAACTGTGAATTTACAGTGCTACAGAGAGTATTTCATATAGCTTGAAAAATTAATCCCGATTAGCTACTGTGAGACTTTGGTCATTGAAAGAAATTTTAATCAAATATGCCCAAATTTTTCTCAACAGACAAGTGTTAAAAGTTCAGTTGATTTGAGTTATTTCATGAAAGTACCTCTGTATTTACAGCAGGAAAAAGAATAGTTGAATCTGGCACCTGGCTGAGAGACTTAATACTGGGAAAAGTAAGTTATACATTAATAGTCTTTCAGAGATTTAAGATCTTTAATAAAACATTACCTAGATTTGGACAAAATTATATCATTTGTATAATTCTTTTCAGGGTAACAAAATTATTGCAGAGACTGATATGACCTTGTATGTAATATGGAAAACATCACCAACAGTTTAGTAGCTTGGGTTTCCTTCCTGTATGTAGAACCACCATTTTCCTTTATGTTGACAGAGAAAGGGAACAAATAATCATCATCTACAGAAAATGCTTGTTCCCCGTTAGGCGCTTAGTTGTATGGATGGAAGTATTATACAAATATGTTGTTATAAGTGACACCAATTACCCTGTAATTTCTTGAAAATTGCTACAACATATATCCAATTGTTAGTTTTACTACTGTACATGTAATTGCGTAAGTAACTGCACTGTTACTTGTGACTATGTAATTGTAAATGTTTCCAGTACCAAATTGTATGGTATGTGTATCATATCTAAGTCCATAGCCACTAAGCTGACATCATGGTGTAGACATATAGAAGGACATTTCATTCAGAAGACGCAGGGTTGAATTCTGCCCTGGTAGAAAGTAACCACTTCAGGGGAGCTGTCTTGGGAGGCAGCCCTCATGTTGACTCACCGAATTATTTTCTTCAGCGGTGCACTTTGACTTCATTGGGACTCAAATATACCTACGTGTCCTGGTGAACTGGGATGAGTTTCAGCCCATGCTTAAGTGGCTTGGCTTGCTGAGATTTGTGTCAAGCACCCAGTGGATTCTACTGGCACATAGGAAGAAGCCTTTCAGCAAGCAGAGCTTCTGAAATTCCTCCTGATGTAAATAGTCTCTTTGGACAAGATGCGACTTCTCTGCACAGTGGATCTGAGGTTGTGGACGCTACGCAGACAGTCTGTCTCGATCTATTCTGGCTGCCTCTGAAGGCTTTATGCTCCTTTTAGGTTGTCTTACTTATCAGGCCTAAAAAGGGCAGGATTTGGCCTGTTGTATTTACAGTTAATTATTGCTATGTATGTGAAGAGTGTATTCTTGCTAAGTATATACTGACTATATCTTATTGAAAGGATTAACTTTTTAAGAGAGACTTTTAAAAAACTCCAAGTGAGTTTCGTTTTCAGTCACAAGTAGAATGTGGATAAAATATATAATTCCATGTTCACTCTTCGTATTCTAAGAATTGTTATGTGCTCACTGTATTATATTTGCAGGCATTTTTGTTATGTCTATCTAAAAAAATCGAATCCTAAAATATTTTAGTTATAAGCTTCTGCTGTGCAGAAGACTGTGATTTTTTTATATATATATACACATATATATATATGATAAAAATACTGTTTTTTGTTAGACATCGTGTAAGGATTTTTACCTGTTTGTTCTGGGGAGCACCTCAGTAAAATAAATTGTGTAGAGTTGATGCTCCAGAACTTAACATGTTTGTATGCACTTGCTTATCAGGTGCTCTTGCTCTCTCTATCTCAGTATGGAGGGCATGTGAGACTCTGAAGAGCAAGGGAAGAGAAGAATAATGATATGTGGTAATGAATTTGTACTTCATTTATTCCTGTGAATATTTCTTGTTGGTACCAATGGTACCGGACCAGGCAACTGTTATAACTACAGGATTCTCTTAAGAAAGGACACTCTATAGATACTTTTTCACTGTTCTAACAATCTTCTCTCTGTAATAACAAGGGAACCTGATCTAGTGCCCATCTAAATTGCTGGAAAGCCTCTTATTAACTTCAGTGGGATCTGGACTTTACTTTGTAGATGTGATTCAGTTCATACGAGAATTAAATTCTTATCTAAGGACATTCTTAAACTCTATTGAATTTCATCTTCATTATCCCTGCTGCAACTAATCCTTGGTCTCTGAGAAGTGTAATAACTGGATACAAAATTTTGGAATTAAAACCTAAGAGCTGATTTTGTGCTACTGAAGTTAGTTTAACTTAATTACTGATTTTCTTTGGGCATTGGAACCAGCTGATGTTTCTTCCTTTCATTAATGAAAACATTTTTCCCTGTAAAAGCTTTGTTCTCTATCTCTTTTTCTCTCATAAACCTCATGACCCTCAGAGAAACTGTAGCTCTCATTAAGAATGTACTGGTCTAGATTTTTGCTGCTACTGCTGAAATCTTCTTCTCTAGCTTAAGATTATATTCTCTGAGGCATTCTGCAAACCCTTGCTGCAGGTAATGCCAATGTACTTGACAGAGCTACTCACTTGAGTTAGAGCTTTTCAGAGGAGGGTCCAAATATATCTCTGAGGGTCAAAATCTACTCAGGCAAAACGTCCCTTGAAATCAGTGAATGTGATTGTCAAAAGAGCGGGGCTGAAAGTTGCTCAGTGCTTTTCCCTATGGCCGTGCACTGAACGACATGCATCCTTGTACACCGAAAAGTACACAGATTCTTAACTCCACAGCAACTGCAACAGGAGGCGAGACTTTATCACCCTCCTTCTGGAAGGCTGGTTGTAAACCAGTTGACCCTTGTTGAACCGGTATAAAACCTATTGGATTGGTTCTTTAGGCTTGTTTCCTCATCAATTATTTTCTTCCTCCCTCACGTGCACTGGTATATTATTGTTTTATGAATGTTGGGGCTGCTGGCAGGAACTAACATGGCTTTTCACCCTAAAATTTTACAGTGTTCCTTTTTAAACATAGTCTTGGGCATTTATGTATGGTGTTTTCTTGCATGGAGTCTAACTTCAGGGAGCTACCTGTGGACTTCAATGTATGATAAGAGTATTTTTTCATATTTAAGTGAGAAAAATAATGCTCCCACTAAATACAACTATCTGAATGCCTAATGAAAAGGGAACACTGTGGTTATAACTTGTATTACAAACCTTCTGTAATTAACGGTATCTTCATCAGTTAATAAAGTTGGTATTTTTGTAACCTTGCTTACTCTTATTATTCTTAATAAAGTATTTTATAAAAAACAACAACTTAATTAGCATTATATTTCTTATTTAAAGAAGAAGGTTTGGAACCTCATTGCTAGGCAGAGCCTTAGGGAAATGAGCGGCTCCCAATTCTCATTTCAGTGAGGGATTTCAGTGTGCAGAGTAAGGAGGACTGATACTTTAAAGGTCTGCATGTGTCTGATAATAGATTTGCACATAAAATGAAAGATACAGCCAAATCCATACTGTGATCCTGCTGAGTCTCTCCAAGAGCTTCCTGCTGGAATTCTACACTGACACTGGCCTAAGCATATTACAGAGTGGGTATATTTGCAGTGGAAATGGTGTGATTAACATAATCATGAGTATTTTCCAAGAAGTTTGTAGTTCCTTTCAATTTTAGTATGAGAGGGTTGGAATTTTAAGTATTTCTTTTAATATACTTTACGCTTCAGGAAAGAACTCCCCTCACTGTGTCGCTTAGTAGTGCTGGTGGTATATAAGATGATGCAAAGGAGACCAATAACTTGCACAAACATAGGTGCTGCTTCATATAAAAAGCAGCAATAGCTAGCAAAAAAGGAAACAAGCAACACCCCTACTAGCTCCGCCCGATTAGTGCCTCTGTCCTGCCGAGTACTGTTGAGCTCCTGTAGCATCATGGCATTCTGGTTTGGTAAGTTCAAACAAGGGACAGTAAGTTCATTACTTCTTTTTCATTATTCAGCTGAAATTTCAATGTTCTAAGCATTTCTGGTTATGCTGAAATGTTGATGATTTAAACATACATTTGTTAACCACTCCGTCTATATGAACAGTGAATCATTCTTCAAATAAACTTATGTGCAGAGTGTTTGAAGTATGATTCTGAATTTTCCATGGTAAACATCACTTTCTTTTTGTTTGTAGTCCAAAAAAGATTTCCTAACTGATTCATAAAATCAGTGGATTTTTCATGAACTTCTGAAATCAATGGGAGACTTGCCAGTAACTTCCACCATGTAAGAATGCTTCCAAAGTTATAAAAATCTAGAAATAGTCCATATGTCAAAACCATATCTTGCTATAATTTTACATTCAAAGTGTTAAGGATGTTCAGGTGACCTGTCTATGTCCTGGGAGCCATGAGAATTAACTGCTTGTACAGCAATTTGCAAAACAAAGATCTATAAAGGGATATTGTTTTCATATTACATTCTGTTACGGCTTTATCTTTTGTAGTTGCAAGAACACTATAATCTGCAGATGATAAATGATGAAAACCCACACCAATGCTCAGTACTTGCTTTCTGCTCTTTGTTATCTAACAAACCTCATGTAAACAGAATAGGCCATTTAGTGGAGTTCAGTTGTGTATCTACTCTGCCTTCAAAAGCACCGATTTCTGGACAGTTATGTTCCAATAAAAAACACGTGCAATAAATAGGAAAGAAAACAGCTGGGATGAAAAGGCAAACCATAAAAAGGTTCATACTGAAGTAAGCCCTAAAATGAGCAGATAATTTTTTTCATGTTGTCTCAGCTTTTATAATGTAGGATATATGGTGTGAAAATATGCAATAGAATAGTTTAATAGCCTTAGCTTTCCTAAAGCTGTTTCACTTTGCTTCAGAACATTTGGGAAGATGCAATGACTTCTCCATATAGTCACAGAGGATGTACTGAAAGTTGTGCTTCTGTGTCTGAGGACCTGATCCTACTTGCAATGAAACCACTGCCCAAACACCACCTACGACTAATGGGTAGGTCCTAATCTTCCTTCTGAACACCTTGGACCTTGTCATGGGACTGTTGCAGATACTGACTTAGTCAAGCACTCAGGGCATGTTCCAGACTGGTACTTAGAGAGAAAAGCATATGTTTTATTTCAAACCAGGGCATCAAAGTTCCACTGCAGACTGTCAACTTGGCTCAGTCAGATTCTAACTGAATATAAGAATTGGTTGATTTGCTTACTATTAAAATATTTTTCATTAAAATACTAATAATTAAAAAAAACCCCATGATGGATGCATTTACTATGT